TCCCTACCCAAAGACATTAATTAAGCACATTTTCCTGTTGTGCTGTTGTCAGTTGGGTGAGTTTTTGAGGAACAATCTGGAGAATACTTATGGAGCCTTTTCATTTGATCTGCAGTTTTTATCTACTATTTTCAGACTTATTCAGTTCAAAACAAACAAACCACAGCTCGAAGAACCAAACATCTTTCTCCTTCCCCACTTAACACTTTTGTGTCTAACGGCAATGCCTTCCTGGCTGTGAAAACACACAGTCCTGAGCCCTTTGCAATGTTTCGGTACACAAAAAGGCATCGGAGGCAAAACTCTGAGGTGGTTGTCTTAAGCCTTGTGGATTAAAGGAATACAAGATTTTGTGCAAACGAATGTCTGTGGTACCCCCAGCATCTGGGCAGGACTCCACTCCTGAGGAAGCACACCTGGCCTCCTCCAGGAACACCGAGCGTGCTCAGATGATGCTTTTACCAACCAAACCCCACAAAAGGCAGAGCTGCAAAGAATTCAACTGACAGCATCACTATAGCCAGCACTTCCCAGCCCTGCAGGACTGGTGACACCTAACCACGGAGGCCTGGGTGCCTTGGCTCTCTGGCCTCAGCCTGAAACGGTGCTTGACTTACATCTATCATAATGCTGCAAACACACAAGTCTCTAAGCTTCTACTGCATTTTTATTACCCTTGGTGACAAGAATAAAAATGTTTCCTCTAACATCACCAATTGCTTCTGAGGAGACATTCCAAGTGCTTAGCTGGAAGACTTGAATAGTATTTCCAATTTGCCAAGTAGGTGCTGCTCACACGCCCCCGGATCACATCCGCACCGGGTTCTGCTGGTTCGCTCACACAGCTGAGCTTTACCAACTGGGTTTAATTGCCACCAGGCTCCGATCAGACTCATCGGTTCAAAGCAAGCTCCTTACATGCATAATTTATGCACTTGATTTCAACAGATCATTCTGTGCCTAGTTCCGAGAGGGCACAAAGTGTTTTCCGTGGGGAAGCTGCTCACAGTTCTGAAGAGACCCTGCATTTTGAAGTAGTGTGAGGGATTGTTTGAAGTCTCCTACATTTATGTGGACAGCTACTCCAGTTTTCTCTGTGCCTGTTTACCAGAGTCTCCACAGTTTAGTGAGCTGAGTTACTACTGGAAGGGGAGAGAAGCCCCGGGGAAGGCCCTGTGCCAAGCTGGAGGGAGGCACAGCTCCTGCTCTAGCCAGCACAGAGGAACAAGAGTGGTCTAACCTATTCCAAACCCACTTCACACTGACCTGACAATGCAAGGGTGTCTGCATAGATGAGAAGTTCATCATCTTCTCCCTGCCACCACCCCTGCCTCCCCCCAGACCTCCCTGTGCCTGCCCCGGCCCTGCTTTGCCGTCACAGCCTTGATTTTCCCTTTCATGGATTTTTGCTTGAAACAGCATCACTGCCTTGATTGTCTATTTTCAGCCTATATTTAAGAAAACCCTTTGGTTCCATTTGTAGCCACATCCTGTCTCAGCCTCCCCCTCTTTTTGTTCCTAAATATAAGGCTGATGCAATTTGATGTGACATGACAAAATAGCACATTTGCATCGGCAGAAACTTTCTCTCAACAGCAGTAATTAAAGGGAGCAGATGAGACAGTGCTGGAATTGGTGTTTATTTAGCCTGGAAATAAAAGGCTTAAAGAAGTCTTGAGAGGGATGTTCGAGTGTGTCACGACCATGCAACTCATCCCTGAGTGCTGCCTTCCACAGACCTCCTCACTGCCAAGGCAAGTGGTGGCTCGTCGTCATCGATTCAAAGAGAGCGAAGAAATAAATCTCAGCTCTGTGGACCATATTCCTAACCAGTGAAAATTATTTAGTGTGTTTCTTGGGATTATAAATAGCTCCAGGACACACGTGGTACACCTAAGACAAGGTCAGTCAACCCCTAACTTCAGAGCAAAGGCTCTCTCTAAATGAGAGCCAAGATCTCATCGACTGCCATGAGAATTAGGTGCTCAAGCATCTGAACTGTTGATCTAAGCTGGAGCAGCAGAGGAGAGGAACTCACCCTCACCTGCAGCACAGATTCCTGCAGATTGTCAGAGACAGGGGCCCAGAAATGGCAGCCCAGGGCTCTGAGTGCTGGCACCTCAACAGGATTCAGGCAGCGGATCAAACGGCACATACCTACAAACCCCATGCAGTAACTCCCCGTGCCTGGCTTTGTTGGGTGGACGCACTGCAAACACCTGGCAGGGTCAGGCACTGTCAGTGTCCTGCACCCTATTCCCTTACAGCAGCACAAGGCAGTGCTGGAGGGACAGCAGTGCTTGAAAGTTGAGGGGTTTTTCTTGGTTTTAAGAAGGTAAGTTTAGTTTACTTAAGGATTCAGGGAAAGGTCTGGTGGATGTCCCACAGACCACAGGATTCAGAGGATATGATATGGTTTCAAGCGAGACTTGCTGCTCTGTGGAGCATCTTCCCTGTCTCCTGGTGCACACGAGGCGACTCTTCCAAGCCCATCTGTGATCAGCACCACGCTCTGCTTAAAGCCGCAGCCCACGTTTCGAGCAGGCTCGTTTCCATCCTATCACAGATGGCATAAGAACAGGGCAGGCCAGAAAAAAATCAGTTTGCATATTATGCTTCAGTTTTTATGGGTCAGATTACCATTCAAAGCCATCAAAATGGCAACCCATATGTGATGTGTCTGCCATTGGAACTGGAGTGACACAGCATCAGAATCTTAGCGGGGTTAGTTAGAAAGGGTTTGATTAACCATTAATTAACCTCTGATATTTAAAAGTAAAGACATTTTCCTTTCCAACAAAATTTTGACTTTGACAGATCAATAAAACAGCTTTAGTGAGTCAAAAAGGAAAAGACATTATCCCATCTTCGTCCCTGAACAAGTGAGCACGGCTCTCTTGGCAGAAGGGAGTTGAGCTCCTATGCCAAATACTCTTCCTCAGCGAGCCAGGTGCAGATGTTGGCTGTGTCATCTGTTCCAACTTCTTTGTTCTACAAGCCAGAAAATTGTTCCCACAGCTTTGGGGGAAAAACGGGGACATGAAGAGCTCTTTGCATGTTTTCATTGGTGGAAGAGTATCAACTGTTTTCAAGGCAGTGTCGTAGAAACGTGTCATTAACAACATGTAACTGCTAAGCAGCAGAACCGTGTCCTAAGTACACTGAAGGGAGCTGCAACAGGGACAAACCCATGGCATTGTTTCCAGCCTCCCGGCAGCAGCAGCTGACTCCCTGTTCTAGGAGCGTTGTCCCAGATGCTCCAGGAGCCATGTCTCTGCAGGGACAGGCTCTAAACCGGGCAGGGCTCTCCTCTGAGAGCCATACTGGGCAGTACCACTGTACTTCAAACCTCCAGCTACCTTGCCATGGCACCTGATACTCAAACAACTGCCACGCTGACAGCCAGGGCCACACCTGGGCCATTACCAGCGGCTGAGAGTCCCAATCCAGTTGTAGTCCTGACAGAGCTATGAAAACATTGTTTGCTTTGGTATCTTTGCTGGCAATTCACAATTTGGGCTGTTCCAGCAAGGCTGGAATGGACACAGGGTGATCCCGAGTACCAAAGGCTGTTCAGAAGTATTTCCTGCAAACATGTACAGTCAGATACCAATATTCTGCACCAACCTCATTTCTACCATTTCTTTGTAGTTCGGCATTTTCACCTTATTTTCCCTGTATGAGGCAAATAGGCTCCTAATGGTTCCCACAAAACAAACAAACATTCACTTACAGCATTCAGAGTGAAGGAACTTGAATTCTCCTCACAGATTAGGTCTGTCCAAGTCCAAGAGTAAGCAGAGACCTGCAGAGAAGAATCAATTTTCATTATGTTTCTCCTCCACTCACCACTCGACGTGCCACCAATAAAGAGGTGCTGAGCAGCTCACCCATAGCCCAGTCGATCTGTACAGCAGCTTTCCCTGCTGTTACTAGCCAGGAATGCACAGCCTTGACACGAACAGCTCACTGCTTTCTGTCAGCCACTCAGAAAAACATTAGTAAACACACACCACAAAAGGATACAAGTCGAGAGAGATTCCAAAGCACCTGGTGGAACTGAACCTCCAGTATTTCCTGCATTTGCCTCCTTTGAGGAGCTGCAGTTTCCAGCACTCAGAACTCTGCCCAACGTAATAATCACTTCTCTTCAACACATTTTAACTACATTGCTTCAGAGCTGCCCCTTGGTGTGGTGTCTGGAGGACTTTCCTTCGGGCCCTAACAGAAGAATTCAGGCTGCGGTTTCCCACCTGTCTAACTTTTCAGCAATCCACATGAGTTTACTCATTTACCCATTGGGTTTGGCCCTGACTAAAACTGCTTTTCACCCAGGAGACAACTAACTGTACACAAGAAACTCCTCTTTACCAAACACTTGACTGTATAGTGAGTAATGGAAATCAAATAATTCCTAAAGTCAACACTCATTTGTTTACCTAGAACTCATCCTAAGTTTCTTGAAGTCAAGAGAACTGATTGCTCTGACTATCCAAAGACACCTGGATCAGGTTTTATCCCAGACCCTCCCACAGAAATCTTCAAAAACTACTTGAGACAAAAGTCTTGGGAGATTACAACGACGGAGACTCCGAACTGATCTGTTTTGCCTCCCTTTGAAAGATGTAAGTCTTTGAAAAATCTAAGGCAAAACTCTGAACTGCATTCACAAACCCACAGATCAAAGATAACTTGTCACAGACAAAATTTCCCCCCAAGTATTAATAGTACCACAACTTGGCGGCACGTGACGGGTGACAACAGCCTGGGATGTTCAAGTCCTGGTATCTAATTTCAGCACTTCTCTGCCCTCTGAAGGCCACGTCACGGTGCACACAGGCAGACTTCCCAAAAACCAACACAATCACCTTCTCCTCAGGCTGATACTCAAATTGGCAGTTACTTCTGCAGCTCACTCAGGCACTTGGGCCCACAAAGCTTTCCAAATCTACTCCAAACCCACCCAGCTGAGCTCTGGGAACACAATAAAATAGTGTCAGTTGCTCTATTTCATCGGTCAGTGATAAACACTGCTTAAGGTCTAACTTGAATTTCCACTTTGGAAGTAGAAGAGTCTTTAAAAGTTAGTTTATGTCAACCTTGAGGATCCTCTCTGAGCCAGAAGTGTATGAGAAGCACTGATATAATGTGACTGACACTCCTACGTGGTTACTAGCTGGTCTAAGTTAGTTAAAGCCAATAATCTCCAGTGTGCTGTGCTATTTTTATCTCCTAAAAGCCCAGTGTCTTCTCTTGAGCCTCCAGTACAAAGCTGACCTGCATTCAGTCACCTCTGTGCACTTGGTGACAAGATTTCTGGCTATTTGGACATCCCCACCAAACAGCCTGGAACAGTGTCGGCATGGGACTGTGTATTTCAGAATATAACCTCTGAAAATAAATAATACATGTCGAGTTTGCCCTGGAACATGCAGGAGAAAACACAGGTTTGCTTTCCACTCAGACACACTTCCAAGCAAAACCTGGAGCCCACGTTCATACCTGCCTGTGATGGAACAACACTACTGATGCTCAGTTTCTCCTGCACCTTACCTGCTTGCCATATGGAATGCAAACATGCTCTATGTAAAGTCTTTCCACTTCAATAAAGTGACTGCTATGAATTTCCTACAGGCAAACAGGTACAAATCTGTGCTCCCAACACCCCCAGAGTTACCATCAGTTTGTGAGGTTTGCCTCAGGGGGCACACAGGGCACTGTCCCACGGGTTGCAGTGTGGGTTTACCCAGAGGTGAGTGCCCTCTCCTTGGGGCACACCCTGTCTGTATGCCACAGCTGCTTCCCACTGGGGGGGAGCAGCACTAGGAGCAGAACCAACCGCGCTCCCCACAGCACTGCCTGGTCAGCTTTACTGGAGAAACACCTCCATGACAACCCAACCAGACTTCTCCCTCCACTGTCTGCAACGAAAGAGTTAATATCCGTGACCCAAATATGGAGACCCATTTTAAACTTGCTGAAAATTGCTTTTTAATCCTAGCTCTCGAGGATTTCCTTTGAAACCATCTGCCATGCACACCGGGTACTCCTTCCCCGTATATATGCAGGATTACTATAATATGGATTCTTTTGTGTAACTTAATACATTGCAGCATATTAAAAAATTAGTCGAAATTTCCATTCTTTTCTGCTTTTGACTGCAGGCCACAGAATGACTGAGAAAGTCGAAACCACTGACAGTTCATGGCAAAGCCAACACCCACATTTACCTTCCTTGCTGCAGTATTTACCTTGCAGTTCTAATAGTCAGTCTAACTCTGGCTGGATTGAAGCAAATAGTTATGAGCCATTTAACTGATGTAACTTCTGCACATGCTCATTTTGCTGGCTAGGAATGGGCTGAAGCATGTGCTTCCCTAACCACAGCACCCCTGTAAGGTGGGAGACACAATTAACATCAGACTAATTAGAGATCAGAAAACACTTCTAAATATGATTTCAAATCTATCGCTTAGCTTTTTCTGTTTTCTTGCTATGAACCTTTATGCAATTGCATTTTTATAGCAGCAATAATGGTGAGAAGGAAAAAAGTCACACTCCTAAATAAACTGAATCTTAAGATTGGCACATGCAACATACATATTTTAGGAATCATCCAAACCTTCAAACAAAGAAAGTCTGTTGCTTCCTGTCAGAGTAATCACAGCCAGAGTGACTGAAATAGCAAAGATTCTCAAGCTGGATTTAGAATCAATTTATTGGATCAACCTATAAAGTGAAAAAAATCAAAATCCCAACACATTTATTGAACTCCGCAATTGGAAATACTTTTAAAATCGGTTATTTGCCTGCAAATATTCTGAGAACAGAAAATGAGGAAACTCATTTGCATAGTCTGAATCACATAAGGTGACACTGCCATTCCAGCAGCCAGAGAGGCCACGCCGTGACCTGCTTTGTTCCATGCAAACACAGCTGGGAGCAGTCAACCTGTGCGTGGGTGCAGAGCCCTCACCCACAGCCTCCAGCTCAGCCCCAGCCATTGCCCTCCCAGACACAGGGAGGATCCCACTCCCTGCGCTGCCTCCTCCCCGGGAAGGAGCAGGGTTAGTTAGATGTCACAGGACTGATCTACACATGCAGAGGTTGGAAGAATGTAGAGAGAGGAAAACCCAAGCAAATCATTTTGTTTCAGCAGTAACAGATGTTGAAGCCTCATCCTGCAGACATGTTACTTTAATACAATACTGCCCCTGAAGTGAGGGGGGAGGACAGAATCAATGCCCAATTACCCACTTATTTCAGGGTTTCCATTTTAATGAGCTTCCTGGATGATTTTGTCCTTTTAATTTTCCTCCTCTAATAATCCTATCAAATTAGTTTTGTCTAAAACATGATGAAAAGAAAATCAGCTGTCTAAAAACATCCTGAAACTGCTGGTAGCAGTTTGTAGAAATGACATGTTATGTGTCATTTACTTCTGTACAAATGCAGAGCAATTCCCAAGGTCCTGTGGCACTGCTGGGATTAGGCCTGAGTGACTGGGAGCAGCTCCATGTCCCCACACATCTGCTAATGGCAATGGATAGCAACAGACCGACAGTGCTATGGCATTTGCAGATAGATCAGTGCTGAAAACACAACCAAATGCAGAGTAAATAGATTAAAGCCACCTTTCTCTGGCTAAGGGGGGGATTAAGTGGAGCCTGACCTGCATTCCAGCTGGGGACTAACCTGCTTTCCTCCTAGGCTGTTTGCCACTCGCTCATCAACAGAGAGCACCAGTGTCTTCCCACCTTCCCCACCCTGCTCAGGGGCGGCACTGGGGCTGTTGCTGAGGCCACAGAGCCTGCAGAGCTCAGCTCCCCTAGCTCTGCCTCTTCACATGCAGCACAGGCACCACCTCACCCCAAACCCAAGGTGCACAGGTGCCAAGGCTTCCGGGCAAGGGCAGAGGAACAGTGTGTGAAGGACAGGAAAGCACTTCAGTGGTGGCACAGAGGCCTCTCTGGACAGGAACCCAAGCACTCCTGACCAGAAGCAATTCAGAGAGGCTGACAGAGGAGATGGATGTGAAGATCTGGATGCTGCACAGATCCTCTAGGATCTGCTGAGCAGCATAGCATCACACTGCAAAAACAAGGCTTAGAGCATGCTGGAACAAGAGCCATCTCCTCTCCACCACATACATTGGCATGGAATGCTGCAACAGTGGCTGCTGAATGGTGACTGTCACCTCAGACAGTCTCTCTGTACACTTGTCACTAGTGCCAGCTGCCACTGTGCCACCCCAGAGTCCATTCCCAGAGCGTTTACATCCCACTTGCCTTTGCAGTGCATTACACTGACTAGCATTAAGACCACAGGGCAAAAGAAACGTTACCAGCGGCCTCCAGGGTGCCTGGAAGTCCGAGTGATGCACACCGAGGACCCCCAGCCACTCACACCTGACAGCCACCAGGGCTTGATGCCGGTGTGGTACCTCTCGGGTCACTCCTTCAAGGGAGCATCCTCTGAATAACCCTGCCTAGCTGTGTAGCACAGCCCCTCACTAGAGCTGGGTGAAACCCAGGCACAGCTAACATCCCAGGGGAGCTTGGGCGGCCCCACATTTCTGTGCACCTCTGCAGCATTTCGGTAGCTGTCACGGAGGGGACGTGTCTCCCCACAAACAAAACCTGCACCAAAGAAGCCGAGGCAAACCCCCAACAGCCATCACTGTCTGCAGAGCAGCTCTTACAGCTGGCTGGTGCACCAGGACCGCAGCAATTAGTGATGCGGAACTAATTGATACAAACCTCCCGAGGGGAGTGTGGCTGCTGGTTATCTCCAG